ACAACGGAACCTTGTTTATCTTCTCTTCAAAGGCATCATATTTGTTAAGAAAGAGCACAAACGCGGTGTCCCTGAAACAAGAGTGCCGTACCAAAATCTCAAACAAATCTCTGCTTGCCAGCATTTTATTACGAAGAAGACCATTGCTGTCGGCCCACATTTGATCATAGTCACTCAACGCAACACAAAATATCACTGCCCTCACGTCTTCAAACATTTCCAGCCATTTGAAACCTTCACTCAGTCCCTTGGAATTGATGCGAATTAGTTGATACCTGGGACAAGGAAACCCAATGAGCAAAAGAAAAAGTAAGAGCAGAAGATAGGAAGCTCGATTGAGTATGAAAGGATGAAGATTTTACTTAGTCAAGGCAAGGGGGTATTCATGGTTTTCATTGTATAGCTCAGACATGGTACTTCTGTCATCAAATGAAAATTCCATAGAGGCAAGTCCATTGCTCTGAGTAATGCCCTCAGCATATAAAATGTCCTTCTCGGAAGGCTCATACTCGTTACTTGATATTTCTATAGCCTGTTAGAAATGAAACACCGAACGTACATAAGAATAAAACATGGAAGATAGGAAATTTAGTTTAGCTAGCGACAAAGCAATGCAATCCAAGCCTGCTTGAAATGTCATCACGTATATATCAATCAATTAAACCACATTTATTCCAAATATATCCAGTATTAATTCAAAGTAAATGTGAAAGATCATAAACTAAATATGAAAATACCATCAGTGGAATACTACCAATCCTCTGATTAACAAATTTGATCTTCCAAATAAAGTGTTAACAGACATGCAATTTGGGGAGGAAATATGTAAGGCCAAAACAAGTAATAACTAACCCTATCTAAGAAATATTTGGCAACTTCAGGAAGACCGTGTAATTCCTCCCTCCTTGTGTATGTTTCCTGGATGGCAGGATCTCTCCACACTTCATCTACAATAGGAGCATACTCACGTGTGGCAGCAGGAAAGAATGCATCCAAGTCTCCGGTTGCCATGATATCCAGTAGCCAGTCAGAAAAGTGCTTGAACCTTTGGTTGATTGCATAGATGCTTCGCTCACTTTCATCAACTACTGTTTCACATAAATTCATTTCACAGTTAACCACTAAGGTTCATCCATGCCTAGAAGCAGAGAACCAAATAAGCAAAATAATCTCTCTTAAGATGTAAACATTTTCCACTTCAACCAGTAGAATATTTTTATTTTAGCATCAATGTCAACGGGACAATTATGAGTTTAAGTTATGATAGACATAAGATGGAACCAATAACACTAACTCCACTCCCTTGGGTAAAAAACGACAAAAGGGACAGTAGTTTTCACTTTCGGAAAGACAAAGTTGACCAACAGCAGCAGCAGATAATCAGACTAAGAGAAAGGTTGATCTGTCTATCAATAAAAGCAGACAATTCCTATTGACATGACCACCGTCCATCCAGTAATCTCAAAGTATCCAAAAATGTCAGTAGATATTGCAATGTAACTTTGTTAGAAACAACTACAAGAATCATGGATCTAGAGTTTTGTAGCAAAAGATGGACATGAACATAGCAAGCAGTCACCTATCAATTTTGTAATCAGAAAAAAGAGAAAATCCATGTTCATTATCTTATAGAGACCTGAAGGGGAATCATGAGCAGCTGACGAAGATATCCTATTCTCTGTCAATGCTTCCTCTTCAAAACGTTCTCGGCCCTCAAGTAAAATACTTAGATACTTATACATGTTGCTTTGAATCATGAGTCTGATGTTTTGCAGCTCTTCGGAAGTGAACTTGTTCCCATATAATAACTTAGCCTGTTCCATGGGAAAAAGAAGGATAACATAAGCATTTTTAGGATGTTATACTGTCCAACAAATAAAGCTTCTGATACCAAAAAAAAAAAAAGCGAATGAAATAATATACAACAAAAACAAAAGCACGGAGCCCTAGGGCTTTTCGCTAACCGGTCTTCAGGGTATAATGCAGTTTGATTATCCACAAAAGGTAAGTTAGTACATTAAATGGACTCCAATCCTATTTTATATGCTTGTTTTCCCTTGGCTTTGAATCTAAACCGTTCACACAAAACCTAATGACTGACGAAGCCATACGTCTGCACATCTATGTTGATGTACAAATTAATGTTTTGCAAGGTGAATGCCCACGCTTACCATACTTGCAATATATCAACAATTCAGCTAATTGGATTTCCCCGGCTTCTATTAATAATCTCAATCCACTCATACATGCAGCAGGATAGAAGTTTTATCACACATTCCAAATTCCTAGTTGAGGTTGTTCAGTCAAAAACAGCCAATGATTTCAAGGAAAGATTGCAAACTATGTAATGACATATGGGAAGATAAGGTAATTTCACTATAACGGTAAAGGAAACACATTTTAATCGTCAATTAATGAGTCACGAAGAATAGAAGGCAAATGCAACTATTAACATCTTTGCATTATGTGAAGAAAGTTTTTAATACTTGATAGTTGGACAACTGTAAACCAAGAACCATGGTAGAGCAAGTCTATCCAAAGTCTAGGTTGACTGGAGCAGAAACTACAAAACACGTAAACTCAAAAAGACGTGCCATACAGACACCCTGAAGAGAAGGGGGCTTGAAAATAAAAGACTAATACCTGCTTGAAGATTGTGCTAGTTCCAGATCCCTCCAAGCCAAATAACAGAAGTTTCTGAACTCTTCCCTGTTCCAAGTATTCCGGAACTGACCTGCTTGAAGGTGTCATAGGATCTTCTTTTGCCCCACTTTGATTACCAGATGGTACGGGCAATGAGAATAATGAACAAATGAAACGAGTGGTTGCCTGCCTACCAAAAACCAAACTGCAACTGTATAAAAATTCGACTCAAAATCATCCGTCACACACAATTTCAAACATGCACCAAACGACAAATAACCAACATTCAAGGTAACGAAAGAACCTTTCCCCATATATTCCCCTTAATGTTATTTTGACCTTCCTCCTCATAAGAGCCATCATCATACACCCAGAAATGAGTATCCGGAGGGCACTGCACTTTGGCCAGCTGAAATGGAAAATCATAAGCTTTGTCATATTGTAATCAAATGATTTATGTAGTCGCCACAAAATTTCAAGAATTGTCATCTTATTGTTAACTTTTGTGAGAAGACTTTTAACCTAAACACATGATTATCTTACAGAATTATTTATGATGGGAAAATCCTGTAGTACGAATTCACATTCAATACAAACACATTTGTAACCGTTGGAATGACGGATTCACTATTTCATAGTAGAGGTTTAGGGTTTAGATTTCCAAATTAGCTTTGCATTTGTTTGTATTGAATACGAAGCTGTACTACAGACAGACACATTCATTATGAAATTTTAGGTAATCATTAGCATACCTTCAACACCCTAAGCTCAATCTTTGTGATCTCTCGACCATTCATGAACACTTTGGTGTTCCCATTGCTAGCATCGGACCGAAGCTTACCCCCAACATTGAGTTTCGAGCTAATGATCCTATCCGGCTTCTCACCTTCCTGAAATCAAACACACAGAACTATAAACATACAAAACACACAAAACCCTACTGCAAAATGCTCATCCATTAGCAAAGAAAACCTCACCTCTCCCCAAAAACCAGAATCCTTATCGTACCAATACCTCCCCGGCTTCAACTTCTGAGGAGGCAATTCACATCCCAAAATCTCAGCCAGTTCTTCTTCCCTCAGCTGCCTCCCATTCACAACCAACTGCTCCGGCCGGAGTTGATTGGCGGGGCACTCCTTCTCGGCCCTCATTATCTGCCCAATCTCCAAAGGGCTGCAAACCCTCGACAGGATCCTCGAACACTTGCCCAAGCTCGACCTTTTCGACTCATCTATCGGCTGCCCAATGCAGCTTACACATTTCCTGCCCTCCGGCATCGACCCCATCGCCTTCAGAAGGCAATTACTGCAGTACTTGGCGTCGCACACCAAACACCACTCTCTCTCCTTCAATCTGTTCCCTTTCCCGCACCTGCTGCAAATTCCTCTCTTACTCGATCGCCTCCCGGGCGAAGAGGCCCATGCAACCGGCGACCCCACCTGTTCGGTGGCGGCGCTTGATTGCGGCGACGACGACCTACCGCCGTCGTTATCGTTTTCGGGGTCGTCCTCGTTCTCCAAATCTCTTGGTTCATTGAAAGTCACGACAGCCGCCCTCTTTACTCCGGTGGCGCCGCCGATCGGTTTTTGCTCCAAGTTCGAGTCTTGAACCGGCAACTCAGAGCTGAAACCTTCCTCCGCTCCTTCAAATTCCGATCCTTCCTTGCTGTTCCGCAGCTCCGGTTGCCTCCTCGGAGTCAGAAACGACACCGTTCTACTTGTCTCCTTCACAACGCCGCCGTTCCTCGCCCGATTGAACCGCGAGACCTTCTGACCAACCGGGGAAGCCACCGGAATCGAAGACGCGGCTTCAACCGAACCGGCGGCCACGGAAGAAGAGTGAAGATTGGGAGAGTCGATGTTAACTGGATCAACCTCGGGGAGGTCGTAGGGCAGCGGGGGACCTTCGTACTCGATGGCGATGGAGTAATCGAGGTGCTCTTCGTCGGGCAATGGTGCGCCGGCAGGCAGCATCTTTCTGAGGAGGTCCTCCCAGCTCTTCTCGTCCTCCGGTTCGGAAGCCATGGGGTGCTTGGTTCCCGAGAAAAAAAGCTCGGGAGAATGAAACGAAAGGTGATTGCTTTGCTGTGCAGAGCAGTTGGGGGGAAGTTGGTGGAGGGAGAGTGGAGGATGGAGGGATTCCGTTTCCGTTACTAACAGAAGAGTGGAGAGATGTCAACGATAACGACGACAATTTTTGAGATTTCAAATTGGTGTTTTTGGTTGTTTACAAATAAAATATCAATTTTGAAGAGAGAGATAATTTGACAGACAATATTCCTCGACGGCTGACACCAGGAAAAACTTGGCACGGGACGGCGAGGTAGCGTACCGACTTATTTGAATGTGATTTTAAAATGATTAAAAATATTTTTGAATTAATTTTTATTAAAAATACAAGTAAATCTTAAAAAAATATTTAAAAGTGCTTCATGAAAGAAGTATATAACTGGTACTTCTTACCGAAAGCACTTCAAGTGCTTTTGGAACCCAAAAACATCTTATGTAAAAGCGATTTCAGCTATTTTAAAAGCACATCCAAACGAGCACTAAGTTTATACATTGAGTTACTACTCTTTTAGTAGGTCGACACGTCATGAGTAGCCGTACGGTACTTATCACCAACAATTGGACTTCGCTGGTGGAAATCTCCCTAACATGCCATTAGTGCCGTTTCAATAAAATGAGATGGTATACATTAACTTCTGCCGCTGCTGCTTCTCAAAACCGGACACAATGTCATCAATTGCTTCCTCCCACGATTCATCCGCTTCAATCTGGAAAAATTCAACGACAATGTACCCGTCAGCATTACTATTTTGCGTTACAGATTATTGGGAGTCGATGCAACCATAAATACAGACCTCCGGGCAAAGATCGAAAGCAAGACGAGCTCCTACAGCCGCCTCCTCGTGGTTATCTTTTACCTCCAAGTTGAGTATCAGTACACACTTCCTAAGAACATGGTCCCAGTTGTTGAGATCTATACATTGTGTTGCACACGGGTCAGACAAGCAAACAAGGATGGCATCTTCGAGTTACAGATAAACTTCATAAACTAAAAGATAAACAAAAGCAAATGGTACCACAACTCTTGAAGCTTCTATTGGATCTTGGGACACAAGTTCAAAGTTCCACATGATTCATTTCTAACTAACATAAAAGCAACTCCTAAAACAACAGCTTTGATCAATTTAAATTAAAGAACCGTTCACAGTTAGATTATTTACCAAAAGTAGAAGACTAAACATGGAAAGATTTGGTTTTGTAAGGTCTTTCAAGCAAAAGATTAATGAAATCAAATTCGTAGAGAACTCTGATCAAATCCAGTCTCATTAAGTTATTAAACTGTCATCTTTTAATCGTAAGAAGAGTAGTCCCTCACACCGACAGCCTTCTCGCACCAAGTTTGAAGCAGGCAGTCTGAAGCCAACAAAATTCAACTTTCTCCCCGACTGTCCAGCTCTGGTTTATTACTATCCTACAAGTTCAAAATCCGGTTCAAAACAAATTCTGCCACAAGCTCAACTAAAGAAACAGATAATTTCAACCATCCGATAAGATTTTTGTCAAAAACTCTATCCAGGTTTAAAATTTACGTTTCCTTGAGATTCATTTAAGCATAAGATTCTAAAGCCAGCAACTCTTTTGTATGATAAGTTCCAATAATCCTGGGAACCTATAAACTCCAAGTTTCTTACTTTCTTACAATTCCCCCTTGGAAAAGAATCCATTTCAAAATATCAATCATTGCCCTGCTTTCGTTACCATCTCCAATGATTACGTTAAGCTGAGAGGAATCTTATGCGTATAACTTTAGAGCTCAAGGTTAACTTGGCAATTGATCAGCTCATCTACATTGCTAGACTAAAACACGTAGACTGATATTCTGAAGGTAACTAAAAACAACTCTACCAGCAATTCATATTCCAACGGCTCAATAGAAAGAGATTGCCGAGAAACAAAATTACCAACACAAAGAAGAGCAATAATTGATCGATTTTCGAATTGCTACTATTGAAATCCAAAAGATACCAGCCAAAACTTGGGAGAAGGGAGTTAGAACCAACCTTCAACAACCATGTCAAAAACCTTTTCTTCGAATGTTATCACCACATCAAAGGAACTGTCGGCAGCATTGTCCTGCCACCGCTGATGTGCCAGTTTGACTCCCGAGTCTCTTTTAAGCATAGGCAAGATACCATTACGCGTTGTACCTGTAATCGTCGTCAAGGTTTCATTTTGGTTATATAGAAAACACAGTTCAGAATGCGATGTACGCACATAAATTTCAATTCATACACCCTACAAAACTCGAACATTGCTACTCAGACCTACCAATCAAGAGCATTGCTACTCAGACCTACCAATCAATAGTTGTCATCAACTAAACTATTCGATAAACACGTAGAATCCACAAATATCGAATTTTGCGCATAAACGCCACAAGGGTAAGTTCATCGCACAAAATCTATCAGACTGCCCACTTAATTTCCAAAGATTGAAGCTTTGAGCCTACAATCCCGATTGCATATTTCAACAGAGAATCTCAAAGTTCTTTTTCTTTTCTGTTAACCAATTAGCTCCTACAAAAAAAATTATTTGCAATATTTTCTGGATATTTATAGGAATTTATTTCATCACTAAAATATCAAAGTCCCCAAACCCAGAATTCCAAAAAACCCAATTGAATAAAATCGAAAGAAGAACAAGTTTAGAGGAGGATACAGTTCGGGGTCTTTTCGCCGGACATGGTCGAACATCTGCTTGTAAGGAGTGCCAAAGTCGTAGATGTCAACCCACAAAACACCAAAAAACCTAACCCAACTCAAGCCAAATATGTGAACAAAAAGCTAAAAACCAAACAAAAGCTAAATTTCCTTAAAAAAATAGCCCAAATGCAAGTGGATTCACCAGAAACAAGCCCAGCCGCAGCCCCCCCCCCCCACTCGCCCTAATCGCCCCATGCGGCATCAAGCCTTCAATGTCCGACATGGGGGGGCCCACTGTCAGGGCAGCAATCGGCCACTTGCAGGAGCCCAATGGCTCTAATTTGCATTGAACGACTGACATATTTGGACCGTTAGATCAAATATAATCAATCTAACGGTAAAAGAAAAAAAGATCTAACGGTGGAAATTTAAATCCAACGCCTAAACTAATTAAATATATATTTATTTATTTAACTCAGAATTCACTTAAAAACTCTATAAATACCTATTTATTTGTTTAAACATCCACACAAAACTCAATTTTCTCCTACAATTCCTCCAATTTTCTTTCTACCATTTCTCATGTGGCAATGTGGATCCTGTGAGCGTTAAATGTATTCTCATCTACGAGGCCTTTTGGGAGCTCGCTGGCTTCGGGTTCCATCGGAACTTCGAAGTTAAGCTAGTTCGCGCGAGAGCATTCCCATGATGGGTGACTCACTAGGAAGTTCTCGTGTGAGTTCTCAGAAACAAAACCGTGAGGGCATGATCGGAGCCCAAAGCAGACAATATCGTACTACGATGGTAGAGCGGGCCCGAGATGTGGTGGACCCTGGGCCGAGATGTGACATCAATTGCCCTACCGAAGCGCTTCAAGTTCTCAATAGCAGTAGTCTCTGCAAGTCGGCAATACTCGTCAGTTGAATCTACATAGCACCCATTAGCTAGCATCCGAAATGCAGATGTGAGCTTCTGATGAGGTGATAGACTTTGTCGTTATACGACATCTATCTTCCTTTCAAATCAGTGGTCATGATTGACAACTGTGTTCAAGATGCTTTCAAAAAGCTCTCTTGTTAGCGTTTATACATCTCTATCATGATTTTCATATTCTTCTATAGTGTTTCATGAGTTTCATGTATCGATTTAGTGATTTTTCAATATTTATCAAAATTTAAATATTTTTAAATTAAAATGTTCATAAAATTAATTTACGATAGTCTACATAATTTTTTTTTAAAGTTAATTTAAAAAAAAATTAGCCCAAGTTCATTCTTTAATAAGCTGGGGCTAAAATTTTAGGCCAGAATGATTGGAGTAGAAAAGTTATTTCTGAGCTAAAAGCTAAATTTTTTAGGTTAAAAATTTTAACTTTTAGCCCAAAGGTTGGAGATGGTCTTAGAGATTTTCCAGGGAGCTTGACGTAGGCTTCGGTGCCGTACAAATCGACGTAGAAGCCTTGTCGCTTAAGGAGTGAGCGAGCCACCATGCTCCAGTTCTGGTTCGACGAACACACCATGGCATACCGGAACTTCATGGCTAACAAAATTTCATTGTCTCTGTATTTTTCACAAGTCAAAATCACTGTTCTATAAATCCTCCGTCTAGCCACCGTTCTGATTAATCTTTAGGCGTTTAAAAATTAAGAAATGGTGCATCTAGACCCGCCTAGGAACCCGTCTAACTCGCGACTCTCACTATTATACAAAATAAATAACTTTCATTTTGCATTTATTTTTTCAATAAAATGTAAGAAACTTGTTGAGTACTCGAGAGTGAACACTCACTATATGCTTGTTTTCTATGTTTTCAATATATTTTAGTACTTTATAATTTATATGTAATTTTATTTTACAATTTATGTCCTCCAAAACAATTATGTATTTTTTTAAGTATAAATAAGTTATAATTTATATGATACTTAAATCGGCTTAATTGCCTAGAACCTACCTAGCCATCTAAACACTAAATTCCAACCCGTTGTCCAACTAACGTCTAAACTTGATCAACATACTTCATGGGGCGGGGTTTCACTAGTTTATCCCAAGTTGTCATTTTATTTTTCTTTTTTATTTTTTGGAGTGACTCGTTTAGACGAGGAAATTCAAGTGAGGGCGGTTAAGGAACTCACCACGGGTGTAGAAAGATACTGATAAATAAGTCAATTTAAATATGGGTGTAAATAATATGTTGGGTATGGAGATAAAAGTTATGAGTTCAAATATTTTTTTTTATTACAAATAATATTACTACTTTAGGGGTATATATTCAATGAAAATTTTGAGAGATTTTAATTGATTTATAAATATATAGATTTTGATTCCTCAAATTCCTAGGAGAGAGATATCAGATTTGAGAAGACTTAAAATATATTACGAAATCTCTTAAATTCTGTTGAATTCCCTATTTTTAAAATTTAAAAAGTAGTTTCTAATTAAATCGACCTAGGATGTTAAAAACTCATTTAAAATCCTGATTGAATACATCTAGACTTTCAAAGAATTACTAAATTTTTATTGAATACCCTTGAATTTGTAAAGTTGATAAACAACTTGTCCATCATTAGGGGTGTGTATTCAATTGAGATTTTGAGAGATTTGAATGGATTTATAAATTCTATGGATTTTGTTAGAATTTGATTGATTAGTAGAGATTTTATGTGAAATTTTGATTCAATTCTCTCGAAATCTCATAAAGGAGTTGAGATTTGTGAATAATATGAAATCTCTCAAATTTTCTCCAATTCCTCAACTTTTTAAATTCTTTCAAATAAATTCTTAATTGAATACACCCGGAGTGTTATAAAGTTCTTATTGATTATACCCAGATTTTTAAAGATTTTAATAAATTATCTTAACATTCTAATTGAATACACGTTGAATTTCAAATAATCACTTTAAAATATTGATTGAATACCTCTACATTTAGTCCTTTTTTTTTTTTAGAACTCGGTAGTCTTTTCTTAATGTTTTCTTTCTGTTTGAACCCATTAGTCTTTTTTTTTTTTTAGAACTCATTAATTCAGAAGTGCATGCCAGACATTAAAACTATACATGTGTGTGTGTTGCACATGATTAATTATTTGCAAGTTGCTAGATAAATGAGGAAATGTTGTGAGAGAACAGCTAGGAGGATACTTTTAGATGTGCCTCAGATTCAATCAAACTTGACAGCTTCCAACTGTAATATTGAAAGTTTATACAATGACTCAGCTATCGACTGCACGTTACAAAGTCAATTAAACTCAGTAGCTACGTCACAATTTTATACGTCATTAACCTTCTGGAAATTGGTCTCATGGAGGTTTTGCAGAATCGAGGATTGGTGAACGGTCTTACACTAATATTATTTCCAATTTAATTACATATTCATTTACTTGTCCAGCATGAGTGCGTACTTATAAATGGTACCATGTAATTATGAGTTGAAAATGGTTTTGTCATACTCCTGAAGTGAGATTTCGAACAATGTATACATTTTATATTAAAAATATGAAGAGCCCAATTTTTTATAAAGCACACGCATGATTTATTCTTTTTTTTTACATGAGATTCCTATTCTCAATGATAACGAGTAATGACGTTTAAATCAAGAAATTTTAACATAATTCTTGTTGATTAAAAAAACATAATACAAGTTGAAATGTCAATGAACAAGTCATACTTTTAACGAGTCATTAAAATATAAAAATTATTGAATAGTTGGATTGTTAAAACGTAACTGTCAATAAAAAAATAGCAAGAGAAATAGACGGTTGCATCGCATGGGGGATTGTACTGGCTCTAATATGATATATACCAGGTTAACTTGGAGCTAAGGAGCAAACATTAGCAAGCTAGAAAATCACGTCAAAATTGAGAGAGAGATCGTTGGAGTTTAGAGGATGGAATTTTATGCGCTGAAATCAAACGAGAGCAGCATGTACTTGAGGCACGTACCTGAACCTATCGAAAATCTTCATGGGATTCTCCAGTTCTCCAGAAATGATCAGAACGGCGAGGACGCAAGGTTCCTGGTGGAGAGGTCAAACACCAATCCGGAGTACGTGCATATCAAATGTTCTTCCAACCGCAAATACTTGAAAAAGGCGCCGGAGAAAGGGACGCCATGGATCCTGGCCGCGGCCGAGCAACCAGTTGAAGACAGAAACCAACCGACGTGCACATTGTTCAAGCTTGAGCCTTCCGGAAAAGAATACCACGACAACGACAAAGTCCGATTAATCCACGTGCAAAGCGGGCTCTGTGTAAGGCCAATTACTGAAGGAAAATTCGAATCGTGCCTCGGCGTAGTGACAGAGGAAAATTCACTAAGCTCCTTCGCTTTGAAAGCTGACACCAACAACAAATATTTGTGCTACCAACTTGATGTAGAAAGCGGCACTAACGAGATTCTCCGATTTTCTGAAGAAAATTCTAACAGCCGGTTCATAAAATTCACCACAGAGAAGCCAAACAATGAGAACTACGCTGACAAGAATTTTGTGCATATCAAATGCTGCTACAACAACAACTACTTGGGAAGGGTGGACCAAAACAGGGTACAGATCTTAGCCGCGGCTATCGACCGAAATGAAAATATAGACAATTGGGAGTGCACATTGTTCAAGGTTGAGAGTGTCGGAACTCCTGAGGGCAGCAACCGAATCACGCGCTGCCGACTCATTCACTTGCAAAGCGCCCACTATACAATGATTAACGGAAATTTTGATTTATGCCTCGGCGGTAAAACACCTCACCCCGACAATTTGGATGTCTACACATTGTCTGGTCTTCCGTTATCCTCATGATCATGTGATGTTTGTAAGTTACATCTTGAAAGTTTTTACGATTTATTTTGGAGCATGTATTGGATATTATGGAGTTCAATTTCTAGAACGAGTAATACTAGAGAGATTAAATTTTTTTTAATCAAATTTGCAGACTAAATGATGTGGTTGTAAATTATTGGATTATTAATTAAGTGTCGATTAACGTGCTTATTTCTTATTGATGACACATCATTTGGTTTGCAATTTAGTTTAAAAAATTTGATCTTTTTAATATTAGTCTTCTAGAAAATATGTTGACTTTAATGACCAGTTGAGAATATTTCCAACTAGACGTCTGGGTTAGCAAGAGCAACATCTTCTAGAATTCTATTGTCTTGTTTATCTTGCGTTTGTTTGTCAGCCTTTCTTTGGGTTTCTATGTAATCTTGGGCTTTTGTCGTGGTAATGTCTATTTTCAATTTTCCAAAAAGAAAATCCAATAGTTGAGAATGGATTTGACAAGTTGTTAAGTTGAATATCATATTACGCAATGAACTAATTGAATATAAAATTTTATTAGACGGTATTAAGAGTGCAATTTGGGCAAGTTAGAAGGTCAATCAAATCCTAACTCAACTTTTATAATTCGAGCTCGGGTTTGAGTTGGGTTTTACTTGGGTTTATTTGAGCTTGGGTTTAATTGGGTTCGGGTTTACTTGGGTTGGGTTCAGGTTGTCCAACTTTTTTGAGTTTAATCTTGCAACAACTTAGTTTTCAAGAATTCCTAAAAAAATTAAGCCAAGTGGCATCAAAGCTAGTTAACTTTAATTTCATAAATCAATCAAAGTTGTTGAGCAATTGCTTTGAGTAACAAAAAATTTAGGTTTTGGAGACTAACAATCTACTATAAAAGTTTTAGGATTTAGAGACTACAAATACGAGCTGACTAATCAAAGCCTCTTATTTTCTAAAAGTTTAAGTAATTATAAAGGGTAATTTGTTAAAAAAATATTAGAAAGGATGTTGGTTTTTGGACTTAGCCAACTTGGGTGTGGTATGAGAATTAATTGATATGAGTAACAATCTGATTAGATAGGGTTTGGTTAATCGGGTTAGGTTAGGCTAGGGATAGATGGGCAAATGAGCAATCCAACTCAACACAATCAATGAACAGGTTGAAATTGGGTTGGGTTCCCGCGGGTTATAACTAAAAAAAAAATACTCACTTGTTTGGGTTTAAAATCCGGTTGGACATGAGCGAGTTCGGATTGGCCTAACCCAAGTTGTACCTAGATGGTATTGCCAAGAATGCTACGAGGCTACATTGTGACTAACTTATTATTGACTGAATAACTAGCATGCTATTTATAATTAACTAACCTTAATCTTAAAAGGTAAGAAACTGAAACCCTAATGCTAACGGGCTAAGCCCATAAAACCAAACATTAAAGTAAACCTAAATACTAATATTTTTCAATACCCTCGTCAAACTCATGTCGGTATATGACATGGGTTTTAAACAAGCGGATGTGGACTAGCTCCATTGGGCGGACTGGCTCTGTTAGGTGGACTAGCTCTGTTAGGTAGACTAGCATACTGGCGAAATAAACATATAAGTGCTCTCGTCACTAAACAGACGAGATTTCCATATCCCAAGTGCACAAACAAACTGAAACAAAATACTATCACTCGAATGGTCACAGGTCCAAGCACTCAAGTGACGGTTATAAAAAAATCCCAAATAGACTAACACCGACAACAAAAGATTTCAACAACATGCCACATTG